TACAACTAAAATCAATGATGGCCAAAACCACAAAAACAAGACCCAAGTTGTAACAAACTGGAATTAGATGGCTCCGACACATGCTATGCTGCCCGTTTCTATATGCACAGAAGAAAAAAAAAAGAATTTTCATATAATTCAAAGCCCAAACCATTACTATATTTGTTTTATGTCATGAGCATTATGATGATTTACCTCCATACTTAGAAGAGATTTATACATGTTAATGTTGGAATATTGTCCTCATCTCCCTTCTCAGTATCTCTGTATAAAGCATGTCTGGTTGTCCATTTGTGTCATGACTGTCTTTCTGTTCTACCCCTCCCACTTTATGTCTGTGTCCTTTGTCTCTTTTGGGATTTATTTTCCTCATTGGTCCAAAGGTCTCTTGAAAGGTATGAAAAGAAAGGAGTCTCCACCTGAGTCTTCTTGATCCTGCTCTAAAATAATCTCATCTTCTGTTGCTCATTTGCAGTGCATTTTAATGTATTAATGTCTGTTTTCAATTTGTTAACACCCTAATGAATTTTATCTGTCAAATGAAAGCATTTCAAACCATGATTAATCCAATATTGGATAAAATCAAACCTATGCAATGTCCCCAATACAAGTTAAGCAGAGGAGCTGACTTCTTGATTCTACAGTTATGTTAATCTGTGTCATTTTCATGAGATTTTGTTAACGCTGCAGATGGGCGAGTTTAAGTTTTGTTATGCAAGAAGGTTATCTGAGACTCACTCCCATTTTCTAAGTTACTTCCCCCACCTTTGCTCTTCTACTCTAAAAATCTCCTAATCAAATAATTGAATCATTCCTTACTCTGCCCCCTTTCATTCGGAAGACATTTTGAAGTCACTGAAATAAAAGGCTCCCTCTTAAAGCTGCCCAGCTCACTGAGGCTGCTAGTGCAGCGTGGTCAACAAATGAAAGCAAGCTTGGCAAATGTGGCCAGGGCAGGCGGTTTAAAAAAGACTTGCCTCTTGGCCACATTTATTTAATTAGCTGTAAGAGATGTAATCTTGAAGCGTTTCAGTGGCACTGGTGCATGGAGAGATGTCCTTCTGATCTACTCTTGGTACACTCAAAGGATATTGAACCACAGAGCCACTTTCTATCTGCCCTCTGCTGTGCTGCTCAACTTACTGTACGCTGAATCTGATGTACTGATGAGTTATAAGGACATGAACAGACAACCTGTAGGCATTCTGGGCACTTTTAGTGACATACTTTCTTTCTTTACAAATACAAACTGCTGTCTGCAGTCTTTGGGCAATGATACATTTTTTTTCTGTGTTGGCTCCTTGTACAGTGTGTTTTTGTCATTTGACTCACTAACATACAGCCAAAGCTGCTACCAAGATATTAAAACCAAGAGGGGACATTCTTGACAAGTAACATTCTAATGGATTATAAAACAATGACCTTTCCCTCACATTTATCCACTTCATGCTCAACTCCCACTCTCTTCATCTACTCATCACTTCACCTTGTTACATGTCAGCATGTGCTATGAAAGTGTCCATTGTTTCAATATCTTTGCTTCTCTCATTGTCTCTCACTATACTATAAAAGATGTTTTTATGGATTGATAAAATAAATGCTGGATTTGGGGTTCAATTAGAGTCGAATTCGCTGGATTCGAATTGTGATAGACTTTGATCGTGCTGCATCTGCTGCAGTCCATTTGTACTCTTGATTATTAACATGTATGGTTTCTAAAATGTGTCAAGTGATGTCTGTGGTTCCCCCAGTGTTTTGGCATGGAGCATGATGATTCAGAGAAGCTACAGTGTCGATTCTGTCCTCTCCAAGGAAATCTGAAAACATGATGTTTTATAACCTTGAAATGCAACACACAGAATTAAGTGGTGAAGAGAAATCAGACAGAAAAATATTTAACTTTTGCATCCTTCAAGTGCATTTCCTGCTGTTATGCTACTGGCTTGATCTGAGACAAGAAAGCTATTGCTAGCCTGTAGCTCTTTCTTCTTGTGCATGAAGTTCTCTCCCCCCAAAAGCAGAGTTAGGAGACATACAGCCATGCTCTGAACTGAAATCAAGCACAGCTCCACAAATGAGGTGCAATGGAGTTTTCATGCTTAGATCTCATGTCAGAATATGGCCACCATTTAGCATGTGTATGCAAATGTCTTGTTTAAATTTTTGAGGACAGTATTTATCTCTTTTAATCGCCCCTGTCTCCTACCAAATACTGTGTGCTTACTTATATGCCTTGTCAAAGAAGTATACGTCTGTAATATTGTTATTGGCAGTATTTTTTCCAATCCAGGAAGTGTAACATTCTTATACTGTACAGACGTTATGGGGAGGAGGTTATCAAGGACAATTCAAATGCAGAGCTATGACAGAGCACATGTCCTGTGTCATTAATAAGGACAGCACCAAATCATACATGTTTCATCCTACCTGTAGTGTTGATTATCAGTCAACATTGTTGTGGTGTGAGTTGCAGAGTGTTGGAGATAGTGGCTGTAGAGAGGTCTGCCTTCTCTTTAATATAATAGAACTTCCGCATGCATCTACTCATGGACAAGAGGCTTGTGCTCGTGACAGTGGGAGATGTAAACAATAATGAAGGGATGCACAGTATTGTTTTTTTTTTGCCGATATCATATATGGTGATATATAACAACTTCTTTGACTGATAACTGATACCGATATTGATATACCCACATTATTCCCCACCTAATTTAGTGATCACCAAGTCTCTTCTGTTGTGGAATTAACATCATATTATGCATGTATACTCTTATCATGATGGCTCACCAGCAGATGGAGGTATGAAATATAATGCTTTTTAATGTATGCAATATTCATTCATTGTGCAAAAAACGAAAAAGCATGTTGGCCAATTACCGATGAAGTGCCCATATCACACCCTGCATCCATGAGTAGATGCAATTCTCCCTCTACTTGGTAATATGGTTTGCGAATGTGGTTTGGTAGAAAGAAGAGAGTTCCTGCATGAAACTGCTCACATCAGGGTCTGTGGATTATCTCAAGTAAGAGGGTCAGAATACCTGGAAAGAGACATTGCTGTTGAGTTTTTCACATGTATTTTTTTGCTGCTTTGAGCACCACAAGCCAAGTGCCATCTAGTTCCATTATATTGAAGAGAAGGCAGATGACTCTCGGCAACTCACACCAAAACAATCTAGACTGATAAATTGCACTATAGGTAAGAGGAAAAATATGTAGTTTTGATTTAGAGGTGAGCTGTCCCTTTAAGGCTGTATGTTGATAGTGATCATTTCCCAGATTTATTCACTATAAACATTTTGCATTTATTTATTTTTTATTATTTTTAAGGAGACAGGGTTGCTTTTAAAAAATAGAGCCGAATACTGTATAGTGTTCTGTAAAACTGACGTCTAACTTTAGATCAACAAGCATCTTTAGTATAAAATGCAATGCAGCTATCTTTTTAAAGAGTAGGTTTGGATTTTCTTAAGTCTATCTTAACACAGTACTCATGTGCCATAAGTATGTTGAAAGAGTGGTCATCTATTCTTCTGTCCAGTGGGTCATGATGCAATTCTACTGAGATGTGGGACGAAATCACTGCCGGATCCACGCAAAAATGCCTTCTAAAGGCTTGGACATACTTTCCGCATCCATGGAGAGCTGTGATAATGTAGATGTGTGCACAGTTATATTCATAGTACAAATGACGGTTCACGTCAGGCCTTGGCAGCAAACAGGAGGGCAGGGAGATGAGCTTACTGTTCTCCTACTGCTTGCATTGAGTGAAAGTGAAACTAAACAGTGGGGTTAATGGATGTCAAATATCCAATTTAAAACTAACGTCACTGTGGTGAGGCAGCTCCAGCTGGCTTGAAAGCAGTGTTGTGGACTTGACCAGAGTGTGGAGCAAGAGATTGGAGCATGTACAGTTGGCGTGCTTGCTATGCCTACAGTCCATATGGTCACAAAAAGAAAATCAAAAATAATCTGTACACATATGACCACACAGTGATCTGTGCAGACCCTTGTGGACTATTATCACAAAGCTATGATGGAATAATACTGTAATATAATGTAATATACTGACATGACAATTATTTTTGTTGGTTACTGGTTATCAGTCACTCCAAGTTGAGCTGAGTGTACTGGACTTTGTGTCCTTTATATCTTTAATTCTCAGGTGAGAGGAGAGGCATCTTTATAAGATAAGGAGTGTTTCTTAAATTAGTGCCCCTACTGGTCGGGTTAGGTTTAGGAAAATAATCATGGTTTGGGTTAAAATAAGTATGTTTTTATGTGATGTAACTTCCATTAGCACTTAATGTAAAGTGATGACGTCGTGTTAACGTATGCAACGTACATAACTTAAAATAATACTTACTTTTGTTTCACAACTGACACAAACATGGGTCTCCTGGGTGAAAGTCCTGTGTTTGTTTGATCTGTCGATCCACCCTAAGCTCCTTCATACAAGGACTTTGTCACAAATCATACTACATAGCCTTACTTCCACCTTTGCTCCCGTCATAATTACTACGGGCACTAGAGGTAGCCGCTTACACTAAACATAAATATTGGTCATAATAAACTGCTTGTACTAGTGACCTATGGTGTTATTTTTGGGTGGAAGACCGTCTCAAACCACTTCATCATCAGTATGGTTAGGAGGACTAAATAGAAAGAACTGACATATAGCATGTGAGTACTGTATCTATGTAAAATTGAAATGATTCAAACCTATCCTTTAAGGAAAATATGGAAAAGAAATGAATCTGAAAAATCTAAATTCTAGTCTGGCAAGACTTGAGTGACCTGCACATTCAGTCACTTTACCTAGAGTTAGAAAAGCTGAAAATTAAAATCATTTCTTTACCTGCAATTGCTATAACCTTTAACTTTCCCCTTTTTACCTGTGCTGAAAGGGGACAACAGGGTCCCGAACTCCTGCTGACACCATCTAACAACATCCTGCTCCCATTTCAACCTTTAACTCTGCACTTCATTCACCTTTGCAGCAGCGATGAGGACAACAAGCCTCTCCAGGGCAGCCAGACATCGCTGGATGGCAACGTGAAGGAAAGTGACGACAGTCTGGTGGACTACGGCGAAGGTGGCGACGGCCAGTTCAATGAGGATGGCTCTTTCATTGGCCAGTACACAGTGAAGAAGGACAAGGACGAAACGGAGGGCAATGAGAGCTCTGAGGCCACCTCACCCGTCAATGCCATTTACTCGCTAGCGTAGCGTAGTAGCAGCACACTGGGGATGCGGTTGCACCCTCTGATTTGAGAGCGTTACGACAAACCACAACACCATACACCGGACACAAACACACACACAAATATATTAATATATGAAACACATTAAGGAACACAGCAGGGCCTGTCTGGAGACTGTGTAGGCTTCCCTCTGCAGATACAGTAACAGGGGAACACACGAGTGGAATTAGACCACAAGCCTTTATTTTAGTTTCCAGCTCTAAGAAACTGGCCCACTGGAGGTGACATTTGGACAAAGAGGACAGTACTCGTTCTCCTCTGCGCTCTGCCTGCCCTTACACAGACTTGAAGTGTGCCTTCGGGACAGCTTTCAGCATTTGGAGGCATCACCAAGCGTTCTTTAGAGATTTTTCTTTGGTTTGTTTCTGCTCCGAACATTTTCAGTGCCCCAGCTCTCCTTCCTGATAACACCCCTCATACCTCTGTGTAGCATCCCAGTAAAGTACACACAAGAGGTCCCTGACACACACATATACACACACACACACACACACACACACACACACACACACATTGGCCCCGTCCTGTAACATATCAGCTTCTAACCATTAAACTCAACAGGATGCCGGCAGATATGTTTATCATATTGATATTTACGCAATGAAAGATTTTAGTTTTTCCACAGCTGGTAGACGAGTCATTGAACCTTAATGAGTGCTGTATACAGTCCTGGCACACATTTTAGTGCCCTGCAAAACTATGCACTGTCACCTCCTCCATTCCATTTTGGGTTTAATCTGGTTAGTAGAAGTACACATTTTAGGTTTCTTTTTTACCACTTGCAGGCTCAATCACATGCTTTTATTCACTTTGCCTTGTACAATGTGGTAGACATGTTTTTCTTACCTCTAATCCAATGTTGTAGTGGCCGCCATGAGAGAAGTTATTTTGGCCACAAGCACCAAGCTCTGCTACAGTATGTTGTTACTGAATCCCATTTTTAAAAAGATAATGAGTATTATTTTGGAGCATGTTATTAACTTAGTGCAAGAGAAATGGAAGGCAACAGAGAGGAGAGTTAGTTTTGCTTGAGAAACATCAGTAGACCACAACCTAGTGAGTTCCCTAGTTAGCATGCTGGCTAATGCTGCATTCATGTCAAATGGGAACAACAGTTGGTTGACTGTTGTACGCTTGTAAGTTCCTTTTTACGTTGGTTTCTTAGTTGTGACACACATGAATAAGTGATCAGAACTTTTGAAAGTATGTTTTATACCAAACCAGACAACATTAATGAAATGTGGTGATCACGAAAAAAGATCAGACATTTCAGGCTGTTACTCTGTGTTGTTATTCAGGCTGGGGGGGGGGTTAAAAAAAAAAAAAAAAAGGATATATAAAGTAAAGTAAGGGAGATATACTTACTTACCCTTACTTTCATGACTTTTCTCAATTGTGACACAAGCACTCTGGAAGTTTGGGGTCCCAACCTCAAAATTCCATATTTAGTTTTAAGCTCCTGTGAGCTGAGATGTGTAATGTTTTCGAGTTGGAAGCTAACATCTATGTTCTCTCCCACGAGACATGAATGCAGCTTAAGAGGCTGGGATCCTTATGGTGTGTTCAGACTACATTTTTGCCTTGGGCTTTTTCAGGCAAATTTCATAACTGGATTTTTTTTTTTTTTTGTCAATCTGTATTTTTTTGCCTTAAACAGCCAATGTACAGGCATTCGCTGTCAGCTAGTTAGCATACACAACAACCTCCAGTTCTCTCTGTCACCTCCTCCAGACCTCTCTCCGTTGTTGTCTATGTATGGTTTTAAATTGGACTCATGAAGCCTGGTAATAGGCTAAAAGTTTTGCTCTAGTTGAAACATTTTTAACTCACGTGAACACATTTTTGGCTCATTTCATTAATTTTTGTGCTCTCACCTCTTTGGATTGACTTTATATGCAATCGTACCACCTGTCAAATTCTCTGTGTTTAGTCTGAACCCACCTCTACAGAGGAATCCACACCTCTCTCCCTCTCTCTAGTTTTTAAGAACTCAATTTGTTAATAATTTCGGATGAAAAAACACAGCTTCAGAATACTTGAATTAAATGACAGGATTTACAGCATGAAAATATATACATTAAATTCACAGCCACCTTTGAAAGGAAATGAATCAGCTAACTTTTTAGTTTTTGCAGAGGAGGAAAGATAAAAGAAAACTGTTTGAGTAACAGGACAAGTTCTTAGAAGTATGTACGCTCAGTATTTCATGTCCTACAACCATATTTGTCATGTAGTCATTCAGTTAACAGACTGATGAACTGACAGCCAATTCTTTAATTTATACTAAATGTTCACTGAGTGCTCATTTGTTTCCCCACATCACTTTGGCACTCACATTGTAGTAACCTGCTACTCAACAGCACTATTAAACCCTCCAATGATAAATCATAAAGATCTTTACTGCAGTTAGAAACTGGAGTTCACATTGTATTTCAAATATTTATTTTATATTTCTATTTATTACATTATGTGGGTAGTATTAATATTAGTCCTTAATTTAATAATTGTTATATACACATTTTTGACCAACTTATTTTGTTGTTTCACATCAGAAATAGCCGGAATAAAGGTGTCTTTAGAATCTGTTGTTGTTCATCACGAGAGGCATTAAACACACCAGTATGTTCAAGTTAATTGTGATATTTGTAGCAGCTGGCTTCTCTGCTGTAAACAAAACAACAACAACAACAAAATACCTGTCACCGTACTTACAAAAAGGTCATGTTTATCTGTCCATTGTGCTGCTCTTCTCGTACTCATGTTGTATTACAGTTACTCTGTGTTGTTATTCAGATTTATGTAACATTACCTTTCCACCACACAGAAAATTAATATTGTTGCTTATTATTTATTTGACATATATTCTGTACACGTACTGTAGGTCCTGAAGAAAAATCTCTTATATTTGTAAATATTTAAAAGTCGATTTCCCCAGAAAAATGCTTTATCTGAAAAGGAAACAAAAAGTCACAAATCTGTATACACCGAGCAAATGCGACAGGTGCATCTTTAGTCTGTTATGCACCTTTGTAATGTAGCTTTGACTAACATTTGCACTCTGAAAAAGTAACAAGAATCATCTTTCACTCTATGTTGCCCTTTGCTTTGACATTGTGATATATGGTACTGACTGTGGCAAGTCCATCAGTCTCTTGTTTGATGCAGGTTTGGATTCTATATAGTGAAAGAGGAATACGTTAGATTCTCTATGATGTAAATAAGACATTGAGTGCTCCTGCAATTTGTAACATTGTCGCACACACTGCTAGTAGGCCTAAAAAACATGCATTCGCTGCCGTTTTGGAACAAACTCCCCTCTTATATATCTGTGATCTCTCTGACACCTAACATGCCTGTTGTTGCATAGCTAGTTCCATTTCACAACCCAGTCACCAGAAAAAATGTCTGTATTGTGCGTTTCTGCAAACTATAGATACATTACATTTGTACATTATTATATAGTGGATACATTGAAACTTTATGTTTCAACAGTGCTGTGGTTACTGTGTGGTTAGGTTTAGGCATGAAAATCACTTGGTTACGGATAGGAAAAGGTCATGTTTGGGCTTAAAATACATGGTTTTGGTGGCACAATCACGGCTGGGGATGCTGTCAATGTCCGTGATTTTTGTGACACTATCCCTGGTGGAAAACAGCGATGACTCCCTCAAACAACAGATTTTGTTGTTTGTTGGTCTCCAACCAATTCTCACTCTGACCTTGTCACATATCAACATTTGGTCATAGACTTTCCACGTGGAGATATGACATGCAAGGTACCCTGGGTGTGTTGGTTGTTGACGTTCAGCCTGTTACATGCATATATATATACATATACATTTCTGTTTTCACAGGAAATATACAGTTTGCATACAGTCTCTTTCAAAATAAATGCACTACGTTTGTACAACACCGCAAATTGACGTTTTTTCCTTTAACAACAAACACACGTGATTACATTTAGCCAACACATGCACGTGGTTGGGTTTGGCAACAAAAGCATGTGGTTGGATTTAGGACAAAATAACTAGGTTTGGCTTTACAATCATAACTCGTCAAATACAGTATTGGGGCTTTGTCAGTGTATTTTCACGTCTAGATATGCCACACAAGGTAACCTCCTGTGTCAGTCTATGCTTGTTACATGCATTGAGTCTTTTTAAAATACACTTCTGTTTTCACAGGAAATGTACAGTTGCTGCTTGTTGGACGTATAAAGTCTTTTACAAAATACACAGAGCATAGGTAAAACACCTCATTTTTACATTTATTTCCTTGTGACACAAATGTACGTGGTTAGGTTTAGAGGGAGAAAAAGGTTTGGTTTCAAACTCACATAGAAAGCAAACAGCAGGCTGCTGGATGAAGGTTTGTGGACTCATCCACTACCCCTCCTGCCTGGGACTTTCCAGTTCTTTATATTAGGTTATTGCTGGCACCGCCATGTGGCATATCATATCGCCACATAGCGTGCCTTTGTGTGTCGTCATCCGATTTTGAAATCACTGACAAAGTGGCGGTATTTGACAAGGTCAGAATGAGAACAACTGGTCTTGCCTAGGTGTCATACCATCCACCACCCCCTCCACCTCCTGATGACAGTCAGCACATCAATTATGTCACTTTAGAAACACTGATATACAAAACATACAAATAAAACGTATTTGTGATTTGCAGAAATATACAATGTCAACATTTTTTTCTGGAGACTGAGCTGCATTTCAGGGGCCACCTAAGAGGACAAAAGGTCTAGTCTGCTCCTCTTCCACTAATGAGCCTCACATAAATCAAGCAGTGGCCAAATTTAGTTCCAGAAAGACATCTGTCAAAAAGTGTAGCAAGTAAAAGGGCAAATATATTCATATAAATTTTAAACGCCCTGTGATTGACACTATTTTCAGTCTGCAAACGAGGACAAACGGGAGTTTACTCCCATCAGTCATTATGTACACGTTGCAGATATAATTACAAGTTGACAAAGATTCCCTTAATGCACAATTAAACACATTACTGGCCAACAATCAGGTGAACAACTTTGGGCAACAGAGGGCTGAAATTCGACTTTTCAGACTTTGAAAGAGGCGGCCTCTAAATTGGAACACAACATATGTCCTGGTGACAGGTGGCCAATTTTAAAACAGTTGAAACATTGTCCTCGTATTTCACACCCCTTACAAATCTAAGAAATCCAGAAACACAACCTCTGTGTCACTAATTCCCTCTTCCAGAAACTCATGTTCCCTTTGGTCATTCTGCAGAAACTCAAAGCAATATACTCTGAGTTTTAATCAGTTGGGCTTTTTCTCTGATGCCATTGTTTTACAGTATGTTCACTCTGTGACCACAGGGGGTTGTTAGTTTGAGCACCAGTCACCGACATCTTGACAAGAAGAGGAGACTGCCGCTAAAATAGAAGAAAATAGGAAGAAAAAGCACCGAGAAATCAAAGATTGGGTTGGAACATGTACTTTCTCATTGGACTTGTTGGAAGTGTTTTCTTCCAGTTCTGGTCTGAAGACCTGCACCTCCCTCTTCCCACATGGCCTTTCATCTTTTCCCCCCAACCGGATCACAGCGGGGAAATGTTGTACACTGGCTAAATAACAAAGAAAAGAGAATTATGCATATTTGCTGGTACATAGTGCTTTTTTTCTTGTCCTTTTATTTGTGCACGTTGACTCTCTTTTTACTATCCGCATTGTCTCAGCTCACCTTTAAAGGGGGAAAAGAAAATGTCATGTGTAGTTTCACTGCTATGTGTTTTTCCTCATTTCAAAATGCTGCAAAGTGTAGAATTTTACTGGTGCACATGCAAGATTTGTAACTGGATTTTTTCAATGATTGATCACATGCTGTTTGGCTTTTTTTTATTTTTTTTTTATGAATTCTCATATTAGCATCTTCATGTTTTTACCATGTGTATCAGAGCAGCCCGTCAAAGTCTTGCTTCGACACGCAAAAATAACAGCTTTTGTAAGATACATACTCAACAGAAAATGGCATAAATATATTCACCATGTATGCGTGTATGATGAGATGTTGCAACTTCTGCTAGCGACGCCTTCTTTATAGTAAAGCTATTTCTTTTTCTCTACCTCCTGGCGGCTGGTCTTTCTGTTCAACTGTGAGCTTTTGACATGTATAGCGTGTGGTCTGAAGTGCATGGAGCAAGTGCATTCAGAATGTGTCCAACTCCACTTTTGCTGGTTTAACAGCATATCTGGGCACAAAGTAAGGCACAAGGGGCAAAGAGGTTGTATTCAGACCCTTAATTAATCTTAGGTGTGTTTTGGGTTTGCATGCCTGCACCTGGCCCACTGCTATATCCATAGC